CAATGATGGTGCCAACTTGGGCAAGTGAAGCAACGTCCTCCACAACTAGATTGAAGAACAAAACGATAGCAACTTGTCTGTTCCCCTTCCCCAATCCCCCAGCACTGTTCCCATCCCCCCAATTCCCCAATAAAAATCTTTAAAAAAAAAACAAACAAAAAAAACATAGGTTTATTTGCCTACAGTTCTAGGTCAGAATTTTAAAATCAGTTTCAGTGGAATAGCTTTTCTGCAATCTGCCCCAAAAAGCAAAGATTTTGTAGCTCCACAGAATAAAGTTCCACACTTTGTTCTGACTTTATGATTATTCTCTTTAAAATAAATAAAAATTACATTGCTTTTGAATATTTATTGTATTGCCACTCTAATAGTTTCCACAATCCTATCTATAATCTTAAGTGCTCAAATGTCCAGGCAATTTTATGTTTGCCTTCCACAAACTGAGTCCTAAATGAAAAATAAAGTCCTAGAAGTCACAAAGATACTGTAACCTTCTAAAAAGAGAGGTGATAAAATAGATTTATTTGATGTATTACTATCTATGAGTTGTACAGAAAAAAAAACTATCGAGAGGTAATCAGCTTCCCCTAGGTTAAATTTGAATAGGGAAAATTTATTAACATAAATATTCCAGATAGTGTATCATGTATAGGAAGTTCCCGGAGATTTATCAGCATTATCAGTGTCCAATATGTTATTCACCAGAGTCCTGGTGGTACTTTACCTGATACTAGACAACACTATAATGTTATCAGATATAACTTCAGTTATTTTATTTTTTTTAAGATTTTATTGGGGAATTGGGGAAGGGGAACAGACAGATTGCTGACCTTTTGTTCTTCAGTCTAGTTTGGAGGACATCATTTCACTGGCCCATGTTGGTATTATCATTGCGTTCTTCCCGGGTGAGGTAGTCGCTCACCAGCCATTGGATGGCCACTCACGGCAGCTCATGCCAACTGCCCGCCACTCACGCTGGCTGCTGGCCACTCACGGTAGCTCATGGCAGCCCACTGCAGCCCCGCTGCAGCCTACACCAATGCCAGCGACTCACGGCAGCCCAGCTCCAGGTTGAGCTGTTGTTCACCATCTTAGCTGTAGAGGGCAGCGTCACTGGCCCATATATGGGATTAGAACTGGGGCCCTGCTGCTCAGAGCTGGCATCCCAAGCCAACTCCTAACCAACATGCCACTCGGTTGGCCCCAGTTGTTATTTTTAAATGTTTAATTGTAATTTGACTGTTGCGGTTTCCACCAAACATTTACTAAGCTAGTGTTTTCAACCTGAAGATGAATATAAAACTTGCCACTAGAGCTTTATTAAAATACGGATGTTCAGGCCAAAACATGGAAACTAGTGTCCTTCAATAGATGATTGCATAAAGAAGATGTGGTATATATACAAAATGGAATACTACTCTGCCATAAGAAAAGATGAAATGTTGCCATTTGCGACAACATGGATGGATCCTGAGATTACGCTAAGTAAAATAAGTCAGACAGAAAAAGTTGAGAACCATTTGATTTCACTGATACGTGGGATATAAAACTGAAAGCAACAAAGGAACAAGAAAAACAAATAAACAAAAACTCATAGACACAGACAACAGTTTAGTGGTTACCAGAAGGTGCGGGGGGAGGGGGTGGCAGAAGAGGGTAAAGGGATCAAATCTATGGTGATGGAAGGGGAACTGACTCTGGGTGGTGAGCACATAATGTGATATATAGGTGATGGATTACAGAATTGTACACTTGAAACCTGTGTAATTTTACTAACCATTGTCACCCCAATAAATTTAACTAAAATAAAATAAAATACAGATGTTCAGGACCTACTTTAGACTTTTCCTAAAATAGCCTTGATCATTATGTTCATAGACCTTTTGTCCAAAACTCATTCTTTTGGAATTGGCTTTATCTTCTTTTGCATACGACAGAACAAAAGTAATTTCACCTTCATTTGCATTATTTTTGTTATGTCACCCCAGAAACATGTTCACTTGTGAAAAAATATTACTAATAAGTTAATCAAAGTCATTGTAAGTGTCTGTCTTCGCCAGAGTGCTTAACTCTGATGGTTCCCACAAGGCCTACAATCAGCTATAGGTCACAGATCTTGTTTTCAACAAAGAACTGCCTAATAACTGCCAGGAAAAGGACAAATACTTCAAAGAATAAGCTCTTGGGCACAGGCTACTGATGTCATCACATAATCACCATTAAGACCATGTCAGTGGAGTAGGAATTACCAAAACAAGTTAACTGAGAAGAAGTGTTCATGACATGGTTTGACATGATGTACAATAGAACACCACCTAGGTTTGCAAAGTACAAAGACCTATATAGTAAAACCTTGGATGGCGCGTACCTTGGTTTGCGAGTGCTCCGCAAGACAAGCAAACATTTCTATTAGGTTGGTGCAAAAGTAATAGCGGTCTGTGCTATCACTTGTAATGTCAAAAACNCTGTCCAACTTCTGACAGTACACATTCGATTTGTTTGGTTCCTTGGTAGGAGCTCGAAAAACATGACACTTAAAATCCCACCACACTGAGAGCATAACCTTCATTTGATGAATGTCTGTTTTCGATGTCGTTTGAGGTAAATCATCACGTCGGGACGAAGAGCATTTGCATACCACGTTGTTGTCAACAATCCACTTCTCATCACCAGTTACCAGTCACTTCAAAAAA